ATTTGATGCGTGGGTTCCTCGAATCGGCAATTTTACGGCGTTTCTGTTTTATGGGCCAAGACTGAGATGTGCGAACGACATTCGATGGACTGAAACGCGATGTCTTTTTTTACGATCCGAGTTTCAAACGTCGAGCATTGCTCCTTAACTTGATCGTGTCTAGGACCGGGGAAAAAACTACCGGGATCTCCTAGGGAACGAAAAACATTCGGAAAAATCAGGGCACTGCTGTTGAAAATCAGGAAGTCCTCCTCTCCATTCCCAAATAATTTTAAATTTTATAATATTATTTTTTTCAATTTTTAGCTTCGCGTCGGCTCGCTAACAGGTGAAAAAACGGTTTGGCTGTGCGGTTACGTCGTTTTTCTCGAAAAAACTTTTTTCTTTTGTTTTGAAATGCATTATTGATGTATGTTCAATTATTACCACATATAATTTTACGTTTTTTTCAATTTTCGAGCTAAAAAATGCGAAATGTTCTCTGAGAAAGGTGAGCATTTCTTCAACTGAATTAAAAAATTTCAAGCTTAGTGTTTTTGGAAACAATTTTCCATCCATGCCGTTTTTCCACCTACATCCTGCACCCAGAATATAAGGGGGTTTTCATGCCCGCCAAAGCGGACACCTAAAGAATTAATATAAGACCCCAATTTCCTCTTTGTCTCGCCTTTCGCAAAATTTCACATTGCAACTTCAAAAACCTTTATGGCCTCTGAAAAATTAATAATGGCAGGTAATAACTAGGCCTCTTAGAGAGACGACTTATGTCAAAACATCGCCGATTTGAGATTATTTCTAAATATTTTTTAATGATTTTGTTGCAGGTAAGATTGCTGCTGTCCTAGCCTACAAAACAACTCAACTGAATAATTCGAGCGAGCTTATTGATTCTGAAAATTGGTTCGCCCAACTTTTACCATTCAAGGAAATTATTTTGTAGTGCGTTCGCCTCTGGGAAAAAACTGCATCGATCACTTACAGGTGCACGGACCGGTAAGCTAGATGTTTCATCGTTTTATTGTCATCCTTCCAAAAATATCATCATTTTCCAAACAAAGATTTTCCATTCCAAGGTTACAAAATTGACTCCAACAGTTAGTAAATTTACCCATAGGTGATTTTGGCGCCAAACAAGAAATTTGTTTAAAGTAAACCCATTGCTGGTAAAGTTTGTCAATTTTTAAGGCATTTTTAAAAGAAATATCGCAAATTCTTCCCATTCTTGGTTGGCACTTGAATCAGCTATAAATATGGGTCAATGCCATTCTTTTTCTTCGTACGTATTCGATACAGAAGTCACAATTAGTGCACTCAAAATGATCGAAAATTTGAGTGATGATGAAGATCGCATCTACAGTTCTCACAGGTGTCGTCATTGTCAAAATGTTATCACCTTTGATAAAAGAGAGACATTAAAACACAATGAATATCGTAACCGTATGTGATTGATAAAGACATTCTCACAAAGTTGTTTAACTGTCTCTTAATCAAGTTAGTAAAATAAAGTTAGGAAATGACTCATTACGACCAGCATGCTCCGTGAACCGACAGCTCGTTAGTTACCATATTTTAACCTAAAACCAACAATCCGCAAAATCAGTGCAGTGGATAATACCCAATGACATGGAGTTCCTTACCGCTAATATTTCTCAAAACTGTGAAAATTCAAGTGGAACTTTTAACCGGCAGTTCCTTCAACACCTCATCCGGACGTAATATCTATGAAATTTTCACGCATTCATTCGCAGAAAATTCTTTACCTACCACAACTTAAATTTTTTCAATGAAACAGTGCGCAAATCTCTTAATTCTTCCGTGGTTAGTTTTAACATCACACTCACCCGCGACCGACAATAACGCGGCGTATAATCTCGATCCTAGGTACGGGGTGCCGCTCAGCCACCTTTTTTACGCACCGTTGACCGTTCCGATCGCACTCCGCTTCATCAATGATGTCATGCGCTTTGAAGCTCCTAAACTGTGTGACGTCATCGGCTACCGAAACCTCACTAAACACAACGAATCATCGAACCTTTTCGATATCGTCTGTTTAAAAAATGGCTCTCACCGCCCGGTCGCGCTAATCGGAATACTACCTGTGAGGTTTGAGTCGGCGGTGCCCGAACTAACTCAATACGAGGTGACGAAAGCGTTTTCTCAGCAGTTATACGGACTGGATTATAAGCAACGCATCCATCAATACAAGAATTTGATCCCGATTAAATTGATACTCTTGTCACAGTTCGATGAGTGTCCGATTGATCGACCGCTCAAACACGCGAGGATGTTGGACACCTGGAGCCATGAAAACTTTTACACTGGTTTCGGGATAACGTCACTATACCTTGAAAAGTGCAAGGAACGCGTGCGAAGGGACTGTGACGTCATCATAAATGACTTGGACAAGTGGTGTCACTTTTTTCTGTTTAGCGGCTCGTACAGGGTCGGAGAGGTTCCGACCTGGGCTAAGGGCGATGGAGTCATGGAGTTGGCATATTGGTCGTTGAATCCGCGGCTTTATGCTGAATTTGAGTTAAAATTGCATAATGAGAGCATTGAAATGGCCGAGAAAGACTTTGCTGCCTATAGAGAGGCTGTTAAAGAGGGGACGTGGCCGAAGCCTACAAGGATAAAGTGATCGTACCATGAATAGGGATTGGAGAAGGAGACATAACGACGGCGTAAGTCCGCAACCAGGTATCTCGTTTTCAGTGTTTGAAAATCCCGGCTTTCATTTTATTCTTTTGTAGGAGGACAAATTGGACTGCATTTTGCAATTTGGAACTATAAATTCTGGCTCTTCGGGAAAAACACTTTTGTGCATAGGGAAACTAATGGCACATTCGTCGTTTTTTTACCGGGCTAGAATTTATAGTTCCAAATTGCAAAATGTAGTCCAATTGACATCATTCCTTGAAGTTTTGCAGAATTTTCGTCACACAGAGAAGAAAAATCACAGCAGTTTTAAAGAATTGCCGTCGAGTAGTTTTCCGTTTCAAAAATATACACTGGAAAATTAAACACATTGGATCTAGAGTCCAGACCCTTGAAAACATTGACAAAAAAAGGACTCTTGATTCAATCAGATTTATGCTTAAATCAATAGGAAATCCGATCAAATTGAGAGGCTTGGTTCTTGATTTAAGCTTAAATCAAAAGGAAATCCGCTCAAATTAAGAGGCTTGGTTCTTGATTTAAGCATAAATCTGATTGAATTAAGAGTATTTTTTCTTGTAGATGTTTTGAAGAGTCTGGACTCTAGATCCAATGTGTTTTTTTTTTTTCCAGTGTGGCATGACAGGAAGTCTGTGACGTCGCAAACCGAGATACGTGGTTGCGGACTTACACTGTCGATAACTAGGTGCCACAAAGACACAACGTGCAGTCACGCGCTTTTGATTATTTTTCAAAATTCGAATAATCTCAAGTTTACTTATTATGTATCTAATGTATCTGATTTCACCCTGTATCAAGTATCTGTGCTGTTAATAGAGATCAATTAAATTGACGATGACAATTTTTTTTTTACGGGGAACCCAAAACAATGGCGGCCGTTGCATGGAAATGATTCATGTTACATGTCCTGTGTTTTACCGTGAATTTTACTCAAATTCACATTTAGGCGTATTTGGCTTCGTGTAGATGGCTAACGAACAATACCGCCTATTTGCAAACTGACAATTTTGTAGAATGGAGAGAAAAATTCGTCAGTTTTGTAACTTTTAGGATAGATTTGCAATTTTCCATACATTACAGCATTACAGTGTTATTTATGATTTTAGAAAATATTGAAAATTTCGATAGTCATCTCTGATTGGCTCCTCCTGTTTGCTCAGTTTCGATGTTAGATCGATATTTTAGATAGATCAACTTGTTAGATCGATCCAACCCATATTCACTTGCTTGATTGCCAAGACGAGAGGGGGCGTTATGAGCAATTCATCAGCCCCGCATACAAATATTTTAATTGAATTTATTCATGGAAACAATACAAAAAATGAACAACTTTTTCTTTTGTTGCTAAACTGCATGCACATGAGAGAGTAGGATGTCTAGAAATCGGTTCTATCCGTAGTAATATCTAAAATTTAAGAAAATTTGAAGGATTTTTAGGTAACTTTCAAAGCGATTGAAGTTTATGACTATAAATTATATTTGAATGTAGCCCGGGAGGGGGAGGGGAGGCTAGGCCGTCCAAAAACCGTGTATCAAAAATAAAGGTGTAAATTATTATTTTCTTATTTTTTATTAATTATAAAGGCTTGAGTAGCAAAATATATAGCTTCAAAATCGTTTGGTGGAATTTAACCCAACACTGCGAGACAAGGATTGGGAGAAGACATGACACAAATCCTTGAATATTTGGACGTATTTCTACCAAACGGAACCAGAGACAGACAGGTGGGAAAGAAGGGGTCTGCTCGCTAGTCGAAGGAAGAATGAATGGGAATTTTAAAGCGCCAGTGACGTCAGCGGCGACGGAGCCGCCTGGTAGTCTTAAACTCATGAGCCCTGTCCACAACGCTCTTGTCCCATGCCCATGGCTCATGCGTGCCGCATTCAGTCGGCTCATAGTTCCGTTTAACAGAATGTAAAATCCCGCTTTTCCATTTCTCCAAAGAGAATCATACTCACCTCAACATTATTCCTTACCCAGCTCATTACGAGCACACCCCATCTTTCCCACTCGTCTATAGTTCCGTCCGGCAGAAATACGTCCAGTTTTAACTATTGCTGCACAAATTTTAATGATGCTCTCTGGCCTCCCTCGAAAATTTAAGACAAGAAGTGTGATAACCCGATATTGTCAATTGGACGTATTTCTGTCAAACGGAACTGAGCGTCATAGGGGGAGGAGGGTATAGAGGGGGGCTTGGATTGGCGGCGGAACTGGGCGTTGGGCTCATTCCGTCCTATACTCGCAGCGCTTTTCCATGGCGCTTAGTTCCGTTTGACAGAATGCGCTATCCGGCACTCTAAATTGGACGTATTTCTATCAAACGGAACTATGCACATATTCTTTTGGGTCTCAGGGCTCATGTCCTAATGCACATAGTTCCGTTTGATAGAAACACGTCCAATTCCTAAAAAGGAACTGAAATTGCCGCTTCGTTTCGTTTGACAGAAATACGTCCAATTTTGCTTCTCCTAAATGTTCAATCGGAAAACGCTAGTGCCCTATCATCACTTCAACTTTCCAACTTTCCACCTCCCCTGTTTGACCGCCTCTTTATACGCAGCGTAGTCTTTCTCGGCCGCGTCAATGCTCTTCGCTTGCACTTTCAACTCATGCTCACTGTATTGCCGTGGGTTCAGCATCCAAAACGCCAACCGCATGACTTGATCGTCTTTAGTCCAGGTGGGAATCTCACCAACTAGGTACGAACCACCGAACAAAAAAAAGTGACACCACTTGTCCAAGTCATTCCTGATGATATCATCCCTTCTCACGCGTTCACGACACTTATCAAGGTACAACGACGTGATCATGAAATCCGCGTATAAGTTTTCATGACTCCACGTATCCAGCATCTTCGAATGTTTCAAAACTCGGTCCATTCGACCCGCCTCGAACTGTGACACGATTATCGATAAAACCGGGATTAAATTTTCATAATGGCGGACGCGTTGCTTCCAATCCATTCCGTGTAATTGCCGAGAGTATTCTCTCGCCACCTCGAATTGGGTCAGTTCCCGAGCCGTTGACTCGAACCTTGCCGGTTGTATCCCGATGAACGCAACGGGTTCGATCGTGCCGTTTTTCAGGCAAACGATGTCGTAAATACCGGATGATTCGTTGTAGTTCGTGTTGTTATTGTAGCCGATCATGTCACACAATTTGGGAGATTCGGAGTGCATGATGTCATTGATGAAGCGGAGTGCAATCGCGCTGCTCAGCGGTGAGTAAAAAAGGTGACTGAACGGGATTAAGTATCTAGGGTCGAGATTGAATTGCTCATCTTCACTTTCAGTCCCGGGCAAGAGTGATGTTAGCACTAAGCACGGAAGAATTAAGAAAGCCGCCCACTGTCTCATCACGAAAATATCTGCAAATTAATTCGTGAAAAACTAGTGGATATTACACCCTGAGATCAATTGTTGGATCAACGATTGATTTTAAGTTCAAGCTAAAAAGTACTCACGGTCTTGAGAAGGATTTTCTGTTTTGAAAGGGGCTTTTTGAGCAAATTGACAATCGAAGATTTCCCGGTGCGCCAGCTAATAATACAGAAATTCGAGCACTGTCTCATCGCAAAAATTTGAGTTGTGGTAGAAAACTTCCGCGAAATAATTCGTAAAAATCGACCGAATGATTCGTTGTTTTTAAAATTATTAACATTTTCGAAATGAACTTAATAAGTGAATTGCCGTTTAGATATTTACCACTCCACCGACATGACGGAACGAGTCTGAATAATAAGTAACAAATATTCTGTTCACTAAGCATGTTGATTATAATGAATATTTCCTTTGTTTTTACTACCCTCGGTGAACTTTATCGGAAAGCATTTTGAAAATCTTATCAGAACAGTCTTATCAATCATATGACGTCAGAATATTAATTAATGCAGCAATACACATAGTGGTATACATGTGTATAAGTAATCATGATCGTCTTTTTTGTCATCATGATAATTTGGACACTGCCAAGACCATCAATAACTTCCAGAACGCTTGCGATCATTTAAAAGCTCGAAACATTTCAAGTATATTTATTGCATCCTCTTCATCAAAAGTCACTAGGTATCAATTATTTGAAGGTATCAAGAAAAAATTAATAAATAATAAATTGAGCTAACTTTGATGCAACTAAGTTTAATTGAAATAGTTCGAATTTTGAAAAATGGTCAGAAGCATAACTGCGTCTCCACAGCATTGACCATGTCAAAAAGTTTTTCTTTTGAAAAAAAAATGGGTCGTTATCACACAATTAATTTCGTAATTGCGTATGATTGATAAGATACAATTTTAAAGTCGCTCCCGATGAAGTTTACTTAAGTTTGCAAAAAAAAAAAAAATCATTCACTGCGATTTGCTCATTCAGTAAATAGACAATTTGCTAGTCATTCCTCAGACGTACAACTTACAATCGGTGCAGTGGTTAATACTAACGGCAGTTAACCCTTGGAATCCCGTTAAAAACTGTTGACTCTTCTCAAAACTGTGAACATTTAATTGAAACTTGAAACCAACCTTTGATCAGCAGTTATTCTAGTCGTACATAGTCGTATACTAGTCGTTTCACAAATGATACGAGGGTCGCTTTAAAAGTAAGTGTATTTTTATCATAACTTCTAAACCACCAACTGTATGAGATTAAAATCTGTATAAAGCTCCTTATCTATCATACTCTCAGCTGAGCGTATACAGTACATCCGCTGAGAATATGGCAACTAAGAGGCGCTTTAGAGATTTTGTTTTCATACAGTGGTTCAGAAGTTATAAAATAAATGTGATCCTTGTACTTCGTGCATTACTCATCATTTACCACTCGAATTTTTGCAATGAGACAATGCGCAATTTTCCTGATTCTTCCATGCTTAGCTCTAACATCGCTTTCTCCCGCGGCCAAAAAAGATGAGGCCTACAATCTCGATCCTAGGTACCTAGTGCCCTTCAGTCACCTTTTTTTCTCACCGCTGGGCACCGCGATTGCACTCCGCTTCATCAATGACATCATGCGCTCCGAGACTCCTAAATTTTGTGACGTCATCGGCTACAGAAACGACACGAATCACAACGAAACAACGAGCATTTTCGAGTTAGTATGCTTGAGAAACGGATCCTCTCTCCCGATTGCGTTGATCGGGATACAACCAGTGAGATTCGAGGCTTCGGCTAGGGAACTAATCCAGTTCCACCTGGCGGAAGAATATTCTCGGCAGTTACAGGGGCTGGATTGGAACCAACGCATCCCCCAATATAAATATTTAATTCCTGTTTTATCAATAATCGTATCTCAATTCGAGGCGGGCCGAATCGATAGACTTCTGAAACACTCGAAGATGCTGGACACGTGGAGTCATGAAAACTTCTACACTGGTTTCGGGATAACGTCACTGTACCTGGACAAGTGCACGGAGCGTGTAAGGCGAGATAGTGACGTCATCTTGAATGATTTGGATAAGTGGTGTCACTTTTTCTTGTTCGGTGGTTCGTACCGAGTTGGTGAGGTTCCGACCTGGGCTAAAGGCGATCGCATCATGGAGTTGGCGTATTGGATGTTGGACCCGAGCAAATATACTGAAGATGAGTTGAAATTGCAGGATGAAAGCATCAAAGCGGCCGAGACGGACTACGCTGAGTATAGGAAAGCTGTCGAACAAGGGAAATGGAAGTTTGACAAGTTGAAATGATGAATGAAGACTGGAGAAGCGAGGGCACAATACATACGCAACGCGCGGTTACGCTTTCGTCCGTTTTTCGAAACCACCAATTGTGGCTTATTTTTCTAGAGTCACCCTGTATCAAAGTATTCGCACTGTTTGTAGAAATCAATATGATGAAGGGTAAATCACTCTTATCAGGGAAGTGACCTATTATCATATTGTATGCATTATCCATTTTGCATTGTTAGTTGTATATAAGTTGATAGAATATTGTAAATACAGAACCTTTGAACAGAAGCCTCACACAAGTATATATTTCACTTTATCATAAACCGAGGTTCCCTAGGACGTACTTCCGGGCCAATAGGCGAAACATTTTTCGAAATACTTTGTTGTAATATGCTATCGCCCTTTTTGGCGCACAATTTACGCTACATCCGCTTCTGACTACTATCCATCGACGAATAAAAACGAAAGTCAATTCACCCTTGGAAGCCGCAAAAATAATATGATGAAATTTTTTAAAATTACTCCTTTGCATGTAGGTTTTACGCAAGGGACTTATTGGAGGATAAGACGCACACGTACAGTTTTTTAAAAAATTGAGGTATCAATGATTCCAAGTTAAACCAGTCTTATTGCATAGGTATTCTGTGGAAAGGTCGCTCTCAAATTCCAATTTTTAATAATCAAAAAGTCAGTTTGAACTTTCTTTCCGCCATAGAGATCCGTGTAATTTCGAAACTCCTAACACGTATTGCTCGAAATAGCAAAAACTCACTTATGCGCCTTGTCGTCCAAGCCCCTCATATTATCTAGCGGACGCGGGCTCACTGGAAAAAAAAAAGACTTTGGATCTAGAGTCCAGACTCTTGAAAACATTGACAAGAAAAAATACTCTTGATTCAATCAGATTTTTGCTTAAATCAAAAGGCAATCCGCTCAAATTAAGAGGCTTGGTTCTTGATTTAAGCTTAAATCTGATTGAATCAAGAGTATTTTTTCTTGTCGATGTTTTTAAGAGTCTGGGCTCTAGATCCAATGTGTTTCTTTTTTTCCAGTGCTGGAACGAAAAGCGTCTGCCAGTCAATAATATCCCCTCGTGCAAGTGAGAAATTTTAAAAATTTTGATCATCAATTTTCCATCGACTTCCATCGAGATGCACCCACCCTCTTATCAGAACCGCCGCCATTTTACTGAATCTCAAGGGTATCTTTAACATCCAGCGTCTACACCTATCCAATTTCAACGAATGTACTTAAATTTTATTTCTGTGATTTTTGGGCCCCCCGAACTGGGATGTCCCCCGTGGAGCACGGCCCCCTCCCCTTCTCTGCCGCGGCGTGGTGGAGCCAAAACTTGAGGTTGAGCAACGACCGCGATTTGCTGACGTCACGGCGACTACGGCGAGAATAATGAGTTCATGACTGGAGCTCCCCGTCGGAATTCCAATATTGTCGGGTGATGGGTGTCCTCCTGGCTTCAGAGTTCATTCCGAGGTTAGCAGTGGCGTCGGCCTTTTGTGCCAGGGTCCTCGTCCTCGAGCAAGTTCACCAACTCAGAGGCATTAACCCGAGTAATTAATGATGCTATGGAAAATTTAAAGGTGTCCGTAATTCGATGATTTTTATTAATAAAAGAAAACTGCTGAATAAAGTAGGTACGAGAATTCACAGGTTTCTAAATCGAACAATTAGCGTCACAGTGGCAAAATGATCGATTCTGCTTAAATGCACATGCAACGATGATCTAAGTGCGAAACTACGAATATTCGTTTGCGACGTTGTAGACTCCCTGTCATACTTCGTTTTTTCTTCGAAAAACTAGTCACCGTAATGTCTAAAAAAAACTCTCTTGAATTTTCCTGTCTGTTAGCAGAATACTCTGTGTTAATTTGAAGATATGAAGGTGTGGCTTGTCCCTCTTCGAAAAAATGAAGTAAGAGCGGAAATTTTGAAACACCGCAATGGTGATACGTTGTTTCGCACTTTGTTCATCGACATACTCTATAGGTATGGCGCCCTATGATGTCACAAGCTGGTTGATTTTCTAATTTTGGAAACTATTTTTCTCCAATTTTTCCGTTTTCGATGAAAATTGAAATACAAAATACTGGGAACTTATCTAAGTAAGAACTCTGATACAAAACAGTAAAATTTTCTCCTGCTAAATCCGCAATGAGATCGTTTGTTTTCACACTTTCGTGCGCTCGCTGGCCGGCTTTCCGCATTTTTCACATAGCGGCTTTCCACAAAATTTCCTCCCTATTTCAAAAGTGATGACCTTTTTTTCTTTTTACGTTGAGTTTCGACTTTTAATCCTGAACAGTTTTCCTCCTCTCACATTTTTAGGGCCTTTCCCCTTCCTAATTTTCCCAAAAAGCTCATCTTCACCGTCAATGAAGTGTGCTTAACAAGCAATCTTAATTTAAAATACTATACCCTGGAAAATAAGTTACGGGCTATAAAGACGTACCGTCCGTTCCAAGCTATATAGACATAACGTTCGCGTTCCGGGCTCTGAACCCGAAAATTCCGGGTGCAGAAGCCGTAGCTTTAATTACCCCGGGTGCTACGCCCAGAACTTTCGGTCTCTGAGCCCGAAACGCGGACGTTATGTCTATATAGCGCGTAAGTACGACTTTCACGGCCGGAGTATTTTTCCAGTGCAGCGAAACACGCGTGTACGAGGAGATACCATTTTTAACAATATCTGTGATTTGCGTCATCTTTTTAAAGAAATTGAATGAAATTGAGCTGTCGAAACTTAGACAGATAAATTCTATCGGAGGCATCATTTTTGCAACCCACTCCGAACGGTCCATTAAAATGATAGAGGGGACTCGGATCGGCCATGACCGTCCTTTCGCACTTGAAAATTTATTGGTGAGGTCATCATGACTGTGTCGGACCGGAGAATGGCCCGTAATGACATGTCAGGCTGTCTGCCTCTCCCGGACAGGGTACATTGTCCGCAGTGCCGTGGCGTCCTTTGCGATATATCGATTGATCTGCCTTGTAAACCTACGGAAAAAGATCGATAAACAGGGTGTTCGCAACGAACACCTGAAAAATCGATTCTGTACCATAGCTTCAAATGGGGAATTGTCGATAATCGATCATTCACGTCTCGACACTGAGTGTTCGCTCCAGCCGAAAAAGTTCCGATATAACCAATTCTACTCTGCTGTGCTAAGGAAAAACGCCGTATGAACCTTCAGGTGTTGCCAAATTTATTTTAGTAAATCATGCATTCTCCGTAAAATGTGTAAACATTGTTCTCGCAATTTTTCAGATAATTTTGTTCGGAATTACACCTAAAGTTCCCTAAAATATCACGGAAATATTTCATAGTTTTCCTCAAAATAAACACTGTATCGAAGGAAATTTGGGAACTCTCGACTCGAATGTTCTTACGGGGTTTTTCCTTAGCAAGGCAGTACTCTCTGTCTAAGTTCACGGATAGCCGTGTGAGCTGGCCTTGGTTCGCGGTGGAAATAAACGACTTTTCATCTCGGTTTGGTATCTCTCTGTATTACCGTGTTAGATAGAGATAAAATATTTTATATACCCAGCATTAATGGCCCCTTATATGGTGTGATATTACTTTCGGGGATCACCGCTGTGTTAGTCTTGAAAAAAAACGACGCGACATGTTGAGAAAAGTGCTCCATTGAACCCCCATTCACCCTTTTCCCTCTTAAAACAACAATTTCTCAGCATTTCTGTAGAAATTTTATTAAGATTCGACGCTCCCCAGGCGATAGCACATAATTGCAATTCCGAGTTGCAAAATTTCCACTTGTAAATTGTATTTCTACCAGGAATCGGTCGGTAAAAGCATGTTGTAAAAACAGCAACATCTGAAACAAATAATGACAGAATTATCTTTATGATCGAAAAAAACAGAAAATGTTTTCATCATATTTTCGACGAACT